TTATAAATATGTTTACATTGTTATTAAATTGTTAAATTATTGGCAAAGTTGTAGTCATTTAGTTTTATGGGTACAAACATTTTCCCCAGCTGCCTCGAACTCCATCTCCCAGGTGGCATTGCGGCAGCTCTGTATCTAGGTGTCTAGCAACAGCTTTCAACCCAGACAGCTGGCGGCGGAAACTGAAGCGCAATTCTTTTAACTATTATTCGCCACCCGTTGATCATAATTATTAGTCGCTGAGCTGAAAACAGAGGGGAGAATAACTCTGACCTCTGCTCAGAGATATGAGCGGCAGCGGGCGGCCCAGGACCAGCTCGTTTGCTGAGCCGCCAGGTGTTCCAGGAGCCCTCGCAGCCTCCGCCGGATCAGCCGCTGCCGTGGGGAGCAGCACAGGAAAGTCCGGGGTCCCGCAGGCCTCCGGCAGCAGCTCGTCGGGATGCTCGAATCTTAAGCTTTCCAGTAAGTTATTTTTGCCTAATAGTCACCAGTTTAAACATTTATTTCTAGTATGTTTTAAAGTAGCTTGTTTATTTAAAAAAAATCAGACGGTAGGTTCCCCTGATAAAGAAGAAAATCGTATTTTTCCTTCCTCGAGTATGTGCTAACCAATAGATAGCATAGAGCTAGCACGCTAACAAGTTTGTTAGCAGAACAGATTTTATTCAGCTGGGCTTTAGCAGCAGAGTTTCCATGCTAACCAACTTATTAGCATGCTACCTAGCTGGTTGTTTTAGCCACTTTTTTAGTTCCTTATCCGGATGATATCACCGTGACAGCGGTCCAAATGATCATTAAAACCCGGGGAAACCTGAGGCTGTCAGGTGATGATATGAATTATAAGCACGGACCCTTGTTTCAGGAGGTCGGGTTAATTAGATCGGGGTCAGTTTGAGTGAAATCATGAATTAGTCGGTGGTTCTTTGTGGCAAAGCTGGTCTCGGATAACTTGAACGTTTGGCTCTTTTGTTGCTGTTTGCGTGAGAGGAGCATCAGCTGTCGGTCCGGCTCGCCTGGGGCTGGGTCAGGGCGCAGCGATGCTCACCCACCAAGGTCACCTGTGGGGCGAGGATTCGGCAGCAGGTGGTCGCCGCCTGGAGCTGCAAGTGATGCACGTCCAGCTCCAGAGACTGCTGCCTTCTGGGACATCTAGGGGTTGTGTCCTTAATCAGAAAGCATATCTGGGCTATTTGAACCCCCCCTTAGTTTTGCTCTTTCATCTCCTTGATTCTATTAAGTCCCTAATCTTGTATTGAGGAAAGAATCAGATGTTTTAGCTTAACATAAAGCTAGTAATGTCATTAAAGCAGAAACAAATTACCTGAAGCATACCACTCTTATCTAATGTACTTCAGTTAGCTATTATCACTGGACTGTGATTTTCTTTTAAAGCCTGCAGCCAAGATGGTGGAAAAACAACACTTGTCCAGCATGGCCACACCAGCTTTGACTGCAACTGCAGTCTGAGGTGGATCAGAGCGTCTGAGGTTTCAGCTGATCAGAGATGTCTTGCAGGACATGTGCAGACCATGCATTTTGCTTTAAGATATTTTCCATTGGTCAGATAACATATCTTCAAACATGGCATCTTAAAGGAGTAAACTTTATGTTATAAAAGCTCTTTTTGTCACCACTTTAGTTGTGGATGGTCACAGTCTTCAGAAAATGCTACAAACACATTGGGCCGGATTTATCAAGATCCAATTTTGTGTGCAGTAATTTGTGCTTGCAAACTGGAATTTTGCGCGAGGGGCTGAACCATGCTTTGCGGGTGATTTAACAAGAGCGATTGCGTAACTGGTGACAGGTGCAAAACTGTTGGAGACGCCCTATTTAAATGATGGTTTTGCGCGTTTTGTTTTTTGCGGCAAAGTAGTTTGTAGTTTCTACAAACTAGTGCATTAAGAAATTTAAATCTTACAGTGATATATATAAAAAAAGTGAAATAGCTCACGTTTTTATACACGCAAACCTTTGATAGATCCGGCCCATTGAGTCTAGGGCTGCAACTAATGATTATTATGCAAATCGATTAATCTGTTGATTATTTTTTTCCATTAATCGAATAATAATTGGATAGCCAAAGGTTCCGTAAGAAAGATTTTTTTATTAAATTAAACCAGGTAAAACTAAAGGCCAATTTATGCTTCTGACGCATAGCCTCTGCAACTGTCAAATCTGTCTCTGTGCGCGACCCCGCCCACCGCACAGAGGCTCACCTGTGCAGACAAAAAGCAGCTGTGATTGGTCCTTAGTATGCCTTTCCGGCTGTCTGTGTGGTCGTCCTTCTCCATTTGGTGCCGGGGCGCGCCATTTTTAAAAACCGAGGAGTAATAACAACAATGAATAACCACGACGAAAGGTTGATTGAGGAGGTTCCGAAGTACAACCACTTGAACGATGCCTCAGACATGTTGTTTTGGAAAATTAACACTCCCGCCGGCGCCGCCGAAGACTGCTGTGCGTCCCTAGAAATTCCAGACCGACGTTGCAGGCGTATACCAGCAAAACTGGATTGTGACCAGACCCAAGCGACATTTGATGTGTTCGGGTGTAGAAGTATAATCCGCCATTAAGGCTACGTTCACACTGCAGGTCTTGATGCTCAATTCCAATTTTTTTGCGGAATCCGATATTTTTGCGTTGCTGTTCACATTTTCAAATATATGCGACTTCTATGTGATCTCCTGTGTGAACTGTTGCATACAATACAGTGTCCTGCATGTGCGGTAGAGGACGCAATGACATCACAGGGCAGAGTGCTCTGAGTTTACGGAAGTAAACATGGATGGTAGTGCTGGAGCGCATATAGCAATCTTTTCCAACCATAAAAACACAATAATTTCAAGATGGTTAAACATAAATACTGCTCTCCGCATCATCTTTGGCCATGGTTGTTTTTTCTTGCTGCTTCTTCATAGCAAAATCCCGTAATAGTGACCTCGGGTATCAATGGCGTTCAGGTGGGATGAATGCGACCTGGCGGTTCAGACACAGATCGCATTTGAAAAGATCAGATTCATATCCGATTCAGGACCACATAGCCAAGTGGCCTGGGTCCCATTGGAGAAAATTGGATCTGTGTCGTTCATGAAAGCCATGAAATGATCAGATTCAGGTCGCATAGGGGCAAAAAAAATCGGATCTGGGTCACTTCAGGCTGCAGTGTGAACGTAGCCTAAAACATTTCTGCTGGAGTAGTTCTGCATAGAGTTCTGCTTTTTTTTTTTTTTTACGTATCTTAAATGCAAAATGTTAATATATGTAATTTTTACAGGTTTGGTATAATAGCTGCACTAAATTGGTCACTCTGTCGGCTAAAGGAATGTTTTACAGTCTCTATATTCCAGTTTATGATTAATTGATTACTAAATTAGTTGACAATTATTTCTATAATCAATTAATCATGATTAATCCGATTAGTTGTTTTAGCGCTGGTTAAAGCCACCCTATAAAAGAGGCTCATTTATGCAGTTAGTATCTGTGACCTCGTTCTGTCCTGATCCATTTTTCATGATCATATATGTGGATTCAAAACACTTCAGACTGTAGATGAAGATCTAATTATATATCAAAAAAGACAATTTTAACTCTTCTGGTTAAACCTGACACCTGACTGAATAGGAAAGGTAGTCTGCATGGCTTAATCTGGTTTATCCACAACATTTACTTAATGGACTTGTGTACAGATAATAATTGATGCGGAAAGCTCCTTTTAGATAAATATAGACTATTTTTATTGTTAGCTTTGCTGGGCAGTATTAAGAGTTTGTGCCAATGAAGCTTTAAGTTGGTTTAATAAAGTGCCTTGTCATGATCTGAGTATGATTTATTAAGAAAACGTCACTTGTCTCAGCATATCCATGATAACTAATACCAACACATCATTGTACAATGGACTTTTAGTAAGCTAGCATTAGGAATTGTTAGCCTAGCGTCACATCCTCCAGCTCGTTCTCTTCAGTGATTCAGCTTAATGGCTTCTCTCCCTCCTCTACTTTGTTTTGCTGCATGAAGCCTTCCTCTGGATTTCCTCTCTGAAAATAGAATGATGATTATGTGAGTGCTGCTCAGTCTAGTTTGGTTGCTACAGCTCTCATCATGTTACCTCTTCAGTCTGTGTGGCTCAGATGCAAACCAAAGCGTGGAGCAGACGAGTCGATTTGATTGGCACTAATGGAAATGGGGCGAAATGAACAAAAATACTCTTACAATAATAATTTCCACCAGTTTTGTAGTTATCTGACCACTTTCATTCCTAATCAGGACTGTTTGGAGTGAAATAATAGTTGGCTGATTTATTCTGTGTTAACCTTCATTTCACATGCTAATGTAATTTTGTCTGGAGGCAACAGATGCTCACACCGGACAGGAATGACTTTGTCTAAAATATTAAAGCTCACAGAGTGATGGCAGCAGGTCACACAAGTGGATATAATCCCTAGAATAATATTTTATAATACTGAGCAATCCCAAAACCTTTATCTCATTCTAAGCAAGTCTAATGGTTCATATTAGGGCTGCGACTAACCATTATTTAGCAAATTGATTAATCTGTCGATCATTTTTTCGGATAGCAAAAACTTCCTTAGAGAATTTTTGTAAAGTTAAACAAGGGGAAATAAAGCTTTTAAACTTGAGAAATTCTTGATAGAGCAAACTGACTGACAAAAAATATATATATTTTTAAATGCAATATGTTTACATATTTTCTTTACAGTTTTGGTAGAATTGCTGCTGAAGGTGAGTCGCTTTGTCAGCTAAAGGCATCTTTCAGAGTCTCTACACTCCACTTAACGTTTAATCTGTTACTAAATGAGTTGGTGATTATTTCAATAATCGATTAATCTGATTTATTGTTTCAGCTCTTGGTAATAGATTAAGATCTTTGGTCTTAGTCAGTTTAAGTGATTTCCGTCATCTGTGTTGAGCAATGTCAATGTTTTCCCAGTGTTGTTGTACAGAAGACCCCTTACTGCAGACCAGTCTGTCAATAAATAAATGGTTTTAAAATTGCCTTCTGTTGACATAAACATGGCTTTTAAATAGAGTATTTATATAGGAAGAATTTTAGATAATGATCCATTTTATTTATTTTTTTCATTTATCCTTATAACATTGAGATTAAAAATCTCTTTTGCAAGGGAGACCTGGCCAATATAGGCATCAAAATTACATCACATCATTACATACGTACAAAGACACACACATAAAAGCCAAATATGCAATAAAATTTCAATTGAAACATTGACATGTGAGGGAGTCCAACTCAAAACATCTCATTCTCAGCTTAAAAGTATTCAAAGGAACCAATTTACTAAGTTTCAAGTTATTTTGCAGCAAATTCCATGTAAAGGGAGCAGAGTAAGCCAGCTCAGTACTGACACGTGGGACAGAAAACAAGACAACAGCCTGAGAACGGAGA